TTTTGCAGATATGAAGGATAGATCAAATCATATTTTGGGTTTAAATCAAATGATTCCTCACAAAACTTGCATTAATCATTGTTAGTTTCAGATTATCAGTCAAATGGGTATGTGTTTAGTGGTTAAATTCACCATAATTATGCTGCTAAATTGATTTTTAAGGTTCATAGGTGCTTTTATATATATATATAAATTTCAATATACATTTTTCCAATTCATAAAATTAAAATATAAATTTTTAAATAAATAAATAAAAAGGAACGTTGACAGACAGAATTTGATGTCGACAACTCCTCAAACACGGTTCAAAAAAAAAAAAAAAAAGCCGAAACGACAGCGTTGACCGCCAAACCGTGAACTCCGTAGAGCCCACACGGCCCCGTTTTGACCGGAAAATTCTTCGACTCCTACATTCCCGCACTCCGTTTCTTTCTGCTCCGATTACTCCCGACCGTCCGATGAATCATCAAAACCACTTCGCTCTGATCAACGGTCCTGATTCCGTTCACTGAAATTTACTAATGCTATTGTTGGTTAAAGCTATTTTAATTCTATTCAATTTCTAAATATTTTATTATTTTTATACAAAAATTGATTATATAAAATATATAATTGTAATAAATTTTCTTCGTATCTTCACTTTTAAATTTATGAATTTATATTTATATTTATTAAGAAATGTATGGTAGAAATAATTAATTGAAATTAAATATAAATTAATTTAGATTCATAATATTTTTATTTTAATTTTTACTATATTTATTTTATGTTTCTAGTCATATTTCAATTAAGTAAAATTTATAATAACCCTGAATAAAATATAGATTATGGTACTTTTCTATATTATTATTTCTGATGTTACGATTATATTTTACGAGTACATGTACGAATAACTATGGACATTTGATATAATAATATTAAATAATATAATAAAATTCATTTTAATGCACTTTTAATATATGATTAATAATTACTAGTGTCACTATGCTATATATGTTAGTTTTATTTTTTTATTATAATTAAATTTTAAATTTATTTTCATAGATATATTATGAAATGATGAAATTTAGTATATAATATTTAATTTAATATAATTAATAATTTAATTTATTAATATATTAATAGAATTATAATAATTAAATTAGAATTAATCAAATGAGTTAATTTTGTTTGTATATTAAATAAATGTTATGTAATAAATAAATTTTATTACTTCAATTAATTATAACATATTTAAACTAACCTTTTGTCCTAAAAAAATTCTAAAATTGACACATACATTTAATGTGGACAAAAAGCTAAATATCTAAAAGTACTTTGAAAAGAAATTTAAAATGATTTGATTGGAACAAGTTTAATAGTTCAATAATATAATTATAATAAAAAAGAACAAGATAATAAAATTTAACTAAGATAATTATTAATCCTCTTTTAGTGTATTCAAATAATACACTATAGTTAAAGCCTTTAATACAATGATTAGCATGTCAGTATCTTTATAGTTAAAGCCTTTAATACTTTTTTCGTCGAGTCTCGAAATACGATCTTGGAACTCTCTTTTGAGATATGCTCATAGATCACTCCTGTAAAAATCTGAAACTTTAAGGGAATGAATATATATTAAAATAGCGAAAACAAATAATAATTAGAGTTTACATTCTTTACATAGTAAATTGGAATGTCCAAATAGAATTATAGAAATATCTTTTTTAAAAAGTTAAAATAACAGAAAGAGAAATGAAATTAAAATCCTATGGGGATAACCTTCACTAGCAACTTTGATGAGGTCCAAGATATAACATTTACTCGCAACCATCTTACTGTTCATGATCTGAATCTTAATTTTCTTGATATAAAATGATTAAATAGATGTATGAGGTACACTAGCCCAATAAGAATATTACACTACGAATGTTGATAAAAATTGTAAAACAACTAATGGAACCCTTAGTTTAGGTAAATTCATTTAACGTAAAGCTGTTTATTCCATACTTACTATTACGAGTTTTCAAAATCGACCTATAAAGATAATAATTCAAATGACATTATGATTTCATATATAAGTGAGCAATAACAATAGTTTTCTTTTTTACTTGTTTACCGGTACCTTTGGAGGTCCTGGTAATGAGCGGCAAACACCATCACCTTGATACCCTGTTCGGTATGAAGGTGAACTATATTTTTTAAACTTTTACGATATAGGACTTCTCAGGTCTGTACGACTGAGATAATGTTAACAGTAGAGTTTCTTATGTACTAGGTCCGTCTACTCTTTTTTAGGGTACTCAGTAAGTATTTTGTAACGGCCCCGGAAATATTAAAATGAAATGAGTATTTAAATATATCAAATGCGGAAGCGAGATCAAAATTTCAGTTAACATCCCTTACAAAAAAAAAAAAAAAACAAAAACGTACTTAAAATACAAAAAATTAAACTAACTAAGAGAGAAACTCGAAAATAAAACTATGAGTATGACTACAGGGTCTCTAGGCATCCCCTTCGTCGTCCTCCTGCGGAACGGGCTCGGGAACCATGTCTTCCTGATCTGAAATGGTTAAATAAGGAGTGAGCTACACTAGCCCAGTAAGAACATCACGATATCTCACCGTCACGGAGGTAAAGGTGGGTAGAAAAAC